GCTGTGTGTGCTCCATCTATGTCCCTCCAGGGAGTACCCACCACACCATGACCTAGAATACAAGTGAGGCAGTGAGGCCAGGAATGAATTCTCCAACAGGTACACAAGGATGGGAAAGCCATTCACAACAGCCTTCAACTCCAAGTGAAGAAAACAAAAGTGCCCCAGCAGCATGTGATTATGAGAACTGTATTTGCGTTAATGAGGACATCTAATAAAAGTTAACTAATGAAAGGAAGACAGCATCTTCTGCAAAAGAGATATGGTGAAATCTAAGAAATTTCTAAGGAAATCTGTAATGAGTAGTTTTGATACTCAAATCCTTTTTTTTTTAATTCAACAAAAGAAAATATTTCAAGACAAAACAGGGAAGTGGGATCTTCCCTTTACACCTTAAGAAAACATTAAGTACATAAGAAAACTGTCACCAAAAATAGAAGAAAAACAAACAAACATTGCATCTGGGTTAAATACCTTGCCCAGTGAGTACAAGTTTAAATATTTTAACTTTCACTTCATATAACTCTGAACTCGGGGTCGGAGGCCAAGTTTTTGTCATTTCTCCAAATACAGAACCTGACACTGGGCCCAGGACACAGCAGAGCTTTTGTAAATGTTTGCTGAATGAATGCATGAAAGATGTGCCCTGGTCTGCAGAACAAGGGAGCAGGGAATTCACAGGGTAGAGAGTACAGAAAGTACCCAACCCAAACCCAGTCTGAAGTCATAATCACCATCCTCAACCCTTAGACTCTGTTTCTTTTAGAGGAAAAATAAAAATCTTCCTGTACTCTGGGTTTTCAATTTTCTGGTTTTTTTCCTTCAACAAAGTATTGTCATATGAAATGGAGCTATTATGGGCTTGGGCCTTTCAAGTTCACACTCTATTAGTGGTTAACAAAATCTGCTGGTATTATTCCAAATCCCGTCTTGACTGCAACCCTAAGTGCTTGAATCGTCACCACAAGACTACCAGAACACACTAGCAAAGTACAAGTTCAGAGAACAATAAAAAATGCACACATATCCTACCCTCTCGATCATCGCTACCTTGTTCCATGCAAGCCTCAAAGGTAGATCTCCAAGACTGATCTCTATGGGAGAAAGGAAGAAAAAATGGAGGGGGGAAGAACAAGAAGAATGTGAACAGCTGTAATTTGCACAAAGCACCCAATTTTCTTGGGTAAGAAATTCATGTTTAATGCCTGGTAAGGCAGACCCTGGCTTGTGGCTCGGTAGGAGCCTCCCTCCAAGAAGACTGCAGGGAGCAACTTCTGGAGGCTGCCACCTTGCTTAGGAACAGGTCCTAATGGGCAAAGGTAGAACACAGCTGCAGTCCCTGAAAGTATGTTTTAGTATTTGTACGTTTTTAAAGTGCCATGCTACTACAGAAGAGAAATTCTCTACCTGAAACCAGCAACTTGATGGGAATAAAGATTCTGGAAAGGTCACAGAGGGGTACAAAAAAGGTTCTTTCTTTTGAGGCTATAGGGGGTTTATTGTTACTGGTGCCCAAAGTGCAGAAGGAATAGCAGGAGATTAATAATTGAAATGTTGCTGTTATTGGTTTTCTAAACTATTTGTGGGTTATGCTTTCCCTGGGGTCATCATGCCTGTAAGCAGCTCAGAAGACAGAGGGATATAACACATGCTGAGAAAATGCCTGCTACAGGCAGGGACTTTACTAAATATACAAGGTTCTAATGGTGTCCTCCCACAATCCAATAAGGCTTAAAAGCCTTGAGAAATTAAGAAACACGCCAAGGTCACGTGGCTACATTCAAATCCAGTTTCTCTGATTCGAGTGTCATGCCATACTGTCCAGAATTAAGGATGAACCTAATGAGTCTTGATTCACTATTCAAATGCAATGATCAGGAAAATGATATTTATACTTACTCATTTAAAAATATAAAGCATAAACATAGGCGAGGGTATTTTAGAAGATGTGTCATCAAATTCTTGTAAGGAAAGATGATTCACAATCTCATTTGTGGTATGCATCTAGGTGGCCAGGTGTCTCTTCAGGTCTCTCTGATGATGTATTTCAGCAGGTCACTGTTTGGAAGTCTGAATGTGAAAGGTTCTTCAGTATCTGCACACTGATCAACATGCCATGTCTTGGGCACAGTAAGGCATAATTAACTTGGAATTTAGGTTCTTCTAATTTGGAACCCATGGAGATGTAGAGCTCTGTGGTTGACCTTTGCACTACATATTGAAAAGGCCTTGCTAAGCAGGTTGATGGAGAAATATAATCACAAGGCAATGTTTAACCTTCTAAAGAAAATAAACCCTTTTACAAGACATTTAACTTGATCAGTATCAAGCCACTGAAAACGAATGTGCTATTTATAAACCTATTCTTAAAGCAAGCTGTAGAAGACTGATTACACTTTGTCACTTATTAATTTGTATTATCAAATATGCCTTGTTTCTAAAGCAGCCTGTCTAGATCTCCGCATTCCAGCCTTCACTTGGTATTCCAGTTGCACTCCATTTGAGAAATTCCAGCCAAACAGCCTCATGTCATTAGACTTCTGAGAAGAATCATGTGCAACTTTTAGGACCTCAGATCCCATGAGAAATCCCTCCTCTTCGAGAAGTCTGCATGAAAAGCCCTGCTCATATGAGACAAACACAGGGAGTCCCTGGGTCCTGGTTGGGAATATGATAAAAATTAGGTTCATTGAATCCACAGGATTTCACTGAGGAGGGGGAAAAAAAAAAGAGGTGGTCGTGGTTGCACTCACCACTGTGAGCGAATATATGTCTTCAAAGTATGATTCTTGACTATGGAGGTCATCGGTCTGCCTCACATCATGTCCAACATTCTCTCTCAGAAAGACCAAGTCTGACCTTTGGGCTGGATGATTCTAGGCTGGTAGAGGAGTGTGCCAAGCAAGAGTAGGAAAAGAATTAGGAACATGCAGAGAAGCTCCCACAGAAGAAAAGGCTACACCACACAAGAATAGTTAAGATAGTCCATAGATAAGACTGAGAAAAACCTAGGGTGGGATAGGGAAGGAAGGTTGACAAAAACTGAGGGTTGAGACCTCCGAGGTCCATGATTATTCTACACTGTAACACCTTATGCACCTATAATTCTTCATCTGGCATAAACACTAAAAGAACAATGTCATGAGAATGAGAATACCAGGTCTTACTTAGCCCCAGTGGGGTGGCCTACATTCCACATGGATTTCAAATGAAGGGAACACGAGAACAGCACAGTTCCCAAGATGGCTTTGCTTTGAACAGAGTTGACAAAAATATATTTCCAACCTGGGTACCCAGCCCCCCTAGAAGACAGAAGCAGTCATCTACTACTACAGTTGTGAATTCAATGCCAAGTTCCTTCTGAAATGCTCACCCTGAGTGTCCAGCAGAGGGAGTCTCAAGGAGGTACTTAATAAAGAGAAAACTGTTTCATTTTAACACTCTAGACAGTGGGAGCTTTGACTACAGCCCCCTCCCCTAGACACAGATGAACAATGAATGCCCAACACAGGCTCTCCTACATGCTCACATACCCCCCTGGCATGTTCTTGTTCTGTGTGGTGGAGTGATCAGAAATTTGGTTTTGTTTTGTGTAATGGTTAAATGGACCTTGTGTTCTTCAGAATCAAAGAGGAAAGCCCCTGGAATAACATTTCTCTGTTGCTTTCTAAACAGCCCCTTTGTTTCTAAGAGAGTCTGAAAAAAAAAAAAAATACTTGCCGTCCATAGGTTATTTACAGTCTCGTTATGCAGAGCCTGACTGGTAACTTTATTCCATGAAGAAACCTAATTCATTTGGAACCCTGAAACTAGTAACAGATTTTCTTTTCAGATAAGTTTTTTTTTTTTTTTTTTTTTTTTTTTCAAATCAGGCTCTCCTAATAGAGATAAAACTATTAATGAGATCCTTGTTTCACTGCCCCAACAGTTCTCCGGATTTATAGGATTACAATCTTGGTTTCACGCAAGCCCTTTCCCCCTCTCATTTGCGATTTCATCCACAGAATATCTGAACAAAACCGAAAGAAAGCCAGATGGACCCACGCTTAAAGTACGTAAAGGCTGCCACTTCAATGATTTCATGAGAGCAACATTTTCACGCTGAAAAGAATGAAAAATCAGACATTCTTTGGCTGGAAAAAAAAAACCCTCGTACTACAATCACACAAAAACACAATGAAGTGTAAAACTTAGTTGATTCGGGTTTGATTTCTCGCTGGAAGCTGACGGAACTGACTGAAGAGAACCGAAAGAGCGTGTGCAAGGCAGCTGGACCGCTCTTGCCTTACCTTCTTTTCTTTCTTCCTGAAGACAGTCAAATGGAAAGGAAAAAAAAAAAAAAAAAATCACCCCATGCCAGGTGAAGGTGCACTGCACCAATCTACCCAGGCCGAGCCAGAAAACCATCTAGGTCCCCCGCCCCCCAAAGCCAAACTACATTCTCCCTAGCACACGCTAATGCGGGGAGATTTGGAGCCTATTTCATTGTTCTGCCTGGGTCTGAAATGGACTTTTCATCTCTACCCTCGCTCACCGCTTGGCCCCATACAATCGGATTCCACAGTCCGTCGTCCCCCGTCCCCCCCCCCCCAAACCGAGGCTAGCGAAGAATAAAGGAGTATGGGGTAGAATTGGAGAGGTCGGCAAAGGGGCGCAGCGAGGGCAGAGAAGTAGAAAGGAGATCATTTGGAGGGAGTCGGGGGATCGCATCACCTTCATTTATCACAGATAAACAGAAAGCAGCACCGAGCCGTCTTTTCCCACACGCCGCCCCCCGGTTCTTTTCTTCGGGCAAGGAGCCCACCCGCACACACCCCCCAGCCTGCTTCTCCACCCTGGAAACCAGATCCAGCTCTAGGCCCGCGAGGGTCCCGTCCCGGCCCGGACTAGGGGCGCCGGGGAGGGTCGCGAGCGCCCGCAGCCAGGGCCGGGGGCTGCCGGCCGAGGGGCCGCGGGCAGAACAAAGCTGCGGGGGCCGCGGCGGGCCGGGCGCCCCTTACCTTCGTACACGGGGGCCATCGGGGCCGGGGTGTCCGCGGTTCATGGCAACGGAGAAGGGAACGCGGCGCGCGAGCTCGGCCCCCTCAGCCTCAGTGGGAATCTGCCATCTTGAGCCTGTGTCTCCGCTCTCGGCGCAGCCCAGGCCGCCAGCGCCCGCATCACCGCCTCACTTGGCCGGCGCCGGGGGAGGGGGCCGGGCGGGCGCGTCG